GCGATCCAGAGTTTTGTTTCAGTTTGAGCGTGAGTCCTTGGTGATGGCTGAATTAGAAAAGATGCTGAGACACCCGGGGTATGGAGCAAGCAGCAACCGTAACGGGAAGGGTCATTTTACTCAAGGAGTTTCCTCTGAGCCAAGTTTTCACTAGAGACCCAGCCCACAGTTACTTCCCACCATGAGGAAGCACGTACCTACGGTGGCCGCGGAAAGCAGGGAGCCCCTTCTGATTACTATCGGAGCAGGTTTGAACCAGGGAGGAATCCCTTGCTGATTTTGGTGGGGCTCATGCCTTGGAGAACAAGACGTGCTGATCATTGTCTTAACATCTGGTGATGGTGGGAGTACTTGAGGGGCAGTTAACAAAATCCCTTCCTCCTGGGTTCTACAGTTACACGGATACCACACTCTCAGTAGCGGAATTCGGCAATGACAGGGTTTGGCTGCCCTGCAGTTGGCTTAAAAAACTTTGGCTCACAAAATTCTTTGCAGGATTTCTTCTCACAGAAAGAGCAAACTGCAAACAAAACAAGAAAATTATGTATTTTTTTGGGTTGTGTTGTCACTTTTTATTTGACAGTGTGTGTCTGTGGACCCACTCTATTGAGGCTCAGACTGTATTTTTGCCCATTAGCTTGAATCTGGGCTTGTTTACGTGTCTGTTTTAAGAGGTTGTGAAAGAAAGGTATGTCTCATTTGCTTGTTGACGGGAGTGGGGTGGGGTCTGATTCGGTTGGTTTAGCTGGGTAAGTCTGGTGTTATGTGCAGTGGTTAGTGGTTCTAGTTAGCTCTGCCTAGAGAAAAGTACGTTTCAATTGCACAAGCTACCCTCTTACAAATGTGGTCGTTGTTCTGTGGCGTGGAGGAATGGTGAGTGTCCCAGGACAATTCAGTTATTAAGACCGCAGGAGTGATCCCTAGAGCAGATGCTCCTGTTAGGTGTCAGTTGGTGAGGTTAAGGACCAATACCTGGAATCACTTATTTCATAGAATACAGAGTTTTGCAGTATACTTTTCATAATCATCCTATGCTTGTTAAGTGTTTGATAATTATATATGACAACTTTGTAGTCATACCCAGTGTAACATTTCAATATGGTCACGTCCCATTGAAATTAATTTCACCTCACTTTAGCCATTTTACTGGCATGCTTCTGGCCTGTCACTGAAGACAACGCTCCACACGAACTCATGCTTTTGTGCAATAACATTAGTTGGGCAGAGCAAGTAGCTGCTTTCTAAGGTTATCGTGTGTAATTCCTTTTTCCAGTTCAGGAGCATATCTTGTTTTAAACAACTTTTTGAAAGGCAGCCAAAGAAAAGGTTGGCTCAGATATGCCCTTACCAGCCCTGTTTATGAGATACAGTGTTCCACTTCTTGGAGGAAGATGATAAAGTAAAGCTGGCTTTGGGAAGTGTGTAGGAATATGTGTTGGTGTGTTTAAATTCCACATGTAAGAGTGGAGCCCAGAGGGAAAGAATAAAATAGAAAACCATTGCAATAGGACGATTGGTTACTCTCTCACAGTCACAGGCGCTGAGGTGAGTACAGTTCTGAGCTGTCAGCGAGGGGATCACATTAGGACGAGCTCTCTAATAGGAGACTAGTTGGCATTACTTTTGCTGGACTGAAGTTGGGGCAGGAGTATGAACAATAGTATGAAGAGGATTTGGAGGATTTGTCTTTTCTTTCCTGTTCACTCTTATCAAACATACGGGCAAATGATGAAATTTTCTTTGAAAGTCAGTTTCTCTAGGGAGGCAGAACTGTTTTTATGATTCAGCTGGACTCAGATTAACTTTAGGGCAGTCACCTCGAAAAACGGGAAGCTTAACTCCCTGAAAAAACTAGGAACTTCCTGAAACAACTAGGAACTTCCCAGAAAGTGGCGCGCTCACCCTTGAGTAGGAAACAAACAAAAACACGCCTAAAGGCTGCGGAAATCTGTTTGTTAAGCAGCGAGGGGAAATGCCCTCAGCCAGACAGTCTAAACGCAGGAATGTCGGGCGGGAGATCCGATCCACAATCGGAAGGGGAGAAGGGGCTGATAAGGCTGCAGAAAGCAGGGCCAGTCACCAAAACTGGTTCCAGAGGTAAAGTGAGGAGGGCAGGATGTTTATGATACGGTCACGTGGTGCCGCTAACTCCGGCACACCCCACGGGAGCCCGCCTAGGAGGCACTAGTTAAATCACCGCGCATGCGCAAATGTGGAGCCCACCAAACTGCGCTTGGGGGCGAAATGAAGTCCGTGTGGTTTCCTAGGAGCCGTCGTCCTCAGTGCAGCAGGGCGGCGCTTCTGTAGTCAGCCCTCTGTTTTAGCTGTCTAACTAGGGTTGCCAATGATCCATGTTTTGAATCTAGGACTCAAGACATGGGAGGCTCATTTCCATATGTTAATAGGGGGATTATTTTTGTGAAATGAGGATTTTATATGGCATTACTCACGCTTTCAGCAAACATTGGCGTACTTCACTTAGCTTCAAGAGAAGACATTTCCTTGCTTTCTCCTTTTGGTTTCTTGGAAGTGTAAACTTTCTGGGGAAGATGGCAGCTTGGATCATTTCCTTTGTATTTATAAGTTTCTGGGATTTCAGTTTACGGCTCCCATTCCTACAGTGGCCATAATGTTGGTGACAATTGGAGAGTCTCCAAACGTGCCCGAGCAGTCGGTGTGCGAGCGTCGTCGCCCCGGGCAGCGACATTGGAGACTCTCCTTTCCTCACTTCTGATTCTGCCCACGGAGAACACAGATGCGGAAAACCTCATGCAGGGGATTGCGACGCGGTGAAGATGGGTTTCAGGGCGTTCCCAGGCTTGTTTGTGGCCCACGTGAGCTGGTGCTGCAGACGCGGAGGTGTTCAGGCGTCCGCGGGCGGGAGCGGAAGCTTGCTGCCGAGCGGGAATCGTCAGGAGGTGGGAATCAGTGGCGGAGCTCCTTCGCCTGCCTTCTTGTTCAACGCTAATCTCAGGACTACTTTTATAGGCTGATTCCAGATGTGCTTGTCTCTAAGGGCGAATTTTCCGAGGTGACGGGTGGTGTGTTTACCTCAGCATAAAGGAGGTTAACGTGCGTTACAGGTCTCAGGGCAGATGTCTGACTACCCCATGGGAGTCCCTGATGGATCGTTTGGCTGCAGTCTGGCCCAGAAGGTGGAGGAGAGTGCTTACTCCAGGGAGTAGGGAAGAGATGTCATTCTCCATGGCTGCGATAGAGGTCGCAGCTTGAAAGGAAAGTGCTACTTAGGGGAGTGAAATAGGAGCTTTTAACTGGGTGTCCCCCGGGTCATTCCTCTCCTCAAACCACTCTAAGCTGCTGGCTGGCTCTGGGTGGTGTTATTCTGCAGCCACGGTGTTTAGTGAGCTCTGTTTTTAGGAACACTTAATTGGTTTGACCTGCCCCACTGCTTCTTATACGAGGGGGAGCATTCCAGGAATAGAGCTCGCCTCTGACGTGAGAAATGTACAGACCTCTTTTCAAGGGACAACATTGTCTTCGTGCATCCTTGGTGTTGACTTACCTTCTTTTTATTATTAGTCTCTGTCCACGCATACAATATGCTTACAAAACCAATACTGTTCAAAATAACAATATTAATCGAATAGGTTGGGTGATGTCATTTTGCTCAAGCCCAAACCCCTGATTCATAGTAGAAACACGAACTTGAGATCCAGTCCTATATGTAATTCACGTTTTTAACTTCGGTGGTGCTAGTTCAGAGAATTTCTGTACATGCAAGTGAGTTGTAGGAAAAAGATAAATGACTTCAAGCCTTTGTTTGTTGGTTTAGGAAAGTCAGACCTCATATTAAATCTAAGATTTGCTGAAAATCAGTTTTTCAAATACCAATTGCAATGAGGCATCAGTTAGTTGTGTGAAGGTGTCTTTTGCACTGCAAAGTAGGATTAGCATTACCGTGCATTGAAATCTGCATCAAATAGGTGTCTGATTTAATGATCATCGCAGTTGGGACTAGAAATATTCTCTATTGGTTACTTGTTATTATACTTATGGTAACAAACTGGTGCAAATAGTTATGTACAAAGGTGGCGGCTACCCGATACAGTAGCTCACGTCATAAATGGAATACAGACTGTTATGGCAAAAGTTTTTGAGCACTGTATGCTTATATTACCACGTGCCTTGTGAGGACTCAGTTCCTCCACCAGGGTTTTGAGTGTGAAGTACCACGAGACTGTCACACGTGGCTCACATCCTGTGGAGAGGCAGAAGCAGGCGTGGTCCTCCCAGAGCAGGGTCAGTTGTAAGGCACCAGCAAAGTGATTCCAAGTTTGCTTATGTCACATATTTGAGATTATTATCATGTGAAAGAAATGTTAAAAATTCTAATAGAGCACAATAACCAAAAGATAGAAGCAACCCACATGTCCATCAGTGGATGAACGAATAAACAAAATGAGGTATATCCATACAATGCAATATTATTCAGTCTTAAAAAGGAAGTTTTGACACATGCTACAACATGGATGAGCCTTGAAGACATGCTGCGTGAAATAAACCAGTCACAAAAGGACAAATATTATATGATTCCACTTATATGAGGTACCTGGAGTAGTCAAATTCATGGAGATAGGAAGTAGAATGATGGTTGCCCAGGGCTGAAGGAGAGAAGAATGGGGAATTAGTGTTTCACGGGTACAGACTTTCAGTTTTGCAAGATGAAAAGAGTGCTAGAGATGGATGGTGGCGCAACAATGTGAACGTAGCTAATGCCATGAACTGTGCACTTAAAAACGGGTAAAATGGTAAATTTTATGCTATGTATATTTTACCACAATAAAAAATTCCAGAGAGTAATTTCAGACACCAAAGAACACTGCAGTCTGAGAAACACGGTTCTGGACTGTGGTTGCCCCACGTGAGCCAGGGCTCTGGGGCCAGCCCGCTGTCCTTGGAGAAGTGAGGAAGGACGGGCTGTTGTGCCAGGTTTTCACATAGCTCAGTTTATCCACTTAAAAGGTTTTCTTTTCTTCTAGGCTTATGTTTACGCCACTTGTTTTCGCAAGGGAGCTTAAGGTCTTCCTTCTGTGAAGCGAAGAGAGGAGTGTTGACGGTGCCTGTTTTTCTGTAATGGACCTATTTGGCAAAGTGAGTAGTTGGGAACACCATGTTACTAATCCCAATTAAAAGGTTATTTTAAAAACTGATTAGTGAAATCGAAAAGTCTTGGAACTGCTGCTTTTTAAAACCGGCATGTGGTCCTGTTACTCCTTCCCATTTTGATGGCCAGACTTGTCCAAGGTGCATTGAACAGAAGAAAAATTATAACTTAGCATTCTCGAGCCAGATTCCACCCTTTCCCTCAGCGGTCTTTGGAAAACATGAGGACTCCACAGATGAGAACTGCTGCTCCCTCTCTTTCAGTATTTATTGAACACCTATGGTAGGCTTGGGAACCAGAGATGAATAGTTTTGTCCCTGCCCCAGAGGAGCCCAGGGCCCAGCAGGGGAGGCAGTCACATAACCAACATAACACGCTGTGATAAATTCTGTCACAAAGAGATGGGCAAGTGCTCCAGGAGCACAGAGGAGAGGGCGGTAAAACTGTAACCTTATCCCAATGTTTTACAGCTTTTACAGTAAGGAAATATATTGTCTAAGACTTGAAGTCAAACCTTTCTGGCTGAGACGTGGGCCCATTCCCCTCATTTCCCCTCACTTTGACCCCAGGGTAGAAAACAAATCCTCCCACCAGGACGTGGGCAGCAGTGGGTTGTGAATCCAGGGTGAGGGTCTGTGTCAGAAGGCAAGTTTGGGGAACGTGGCATTTATCAAGGCTCGAGTATGTCAGGGGGAAGAGTTAGGGCCTCATGAGCTGGGCGGGTCAGATGAGAACCAGGGTGGCCCAGACCCCAGAGAACAGAGCCAGCAGGAGGGCTACACGCCAAGCCCAGACAAGGACCCCAGGGACAAAGGGGCAGGAGGACAGCAAAGGTACGGACCACTGAAACGAGAGGATCGGCTCCGTAGGAAAACTGACACTAGGTGGCATTTGTTGAAGGCTGACTGTGTTCTAGGCACTGTGCTAACGTCCATTCCTTCATTTAAGCTTCACAACAGTGCTGGGGATGTTAATACTGCTGTTGCCCCCATTTTTCAGATGAGATAACCGAGACTTGCCCCAAATCATATAAGTAGAGGTAGAGCCAGGGCTTGACCCCAGGCCGGCAGGACTCCAGTGCTCGTTGTCTCCAGTGCAGCCCCTTGCACAAGTGCCGGCATTCTCCCAACTTCCAGCTGACCATCTCCGGCTGTAAGTTCCACCAGCACCTCGAATTTAATATGTGAAAGCAAAATTCATGCCTCCTCTGTCTGCTCCGGTTAGCATCCCTGTTCTTCCTCTCTCAGGCTTAAAACCTCCACTTGTTCTTTTCTCTTCCCACTCCTTTCTTGCCCCATCCAGAAGGTTGCCTGGCCTCATCGACGTCCGACCCAGACTTCCCATTCCTGTGGCTGCGTGGCAGGCGAGCCCATGCGGCCTCTCCCCTGTGAGCCTGTCCCAGGCTGCTGGTCTCCATCATCTCCAATGGACGAGAATTCTGCTGCCAGAGAAAGCTTCTGTTAGAGCCTAGCTCTGATTTCCTCACTCTCTGCTCAAAACTTAATGTCATACTAACAATAACAATGGATTTCTTCCTGTGGACTCAAAAGAATGTTCACCCTCCTTAGTTTGTCATTCAAGGCCTTCAACGATATTCCTCAGCCCAAATTTCCAGAGTTAAACCGCTTGATGTTGCCTTCATACCCCTTTTTGCCTCTTCCTATCCTTTTATTCCAAGCAAACCCCTCCTGTCGCCTCGCCCTTTCCCCCTGCGTCTTTCTCTGTCTGGTACTGTTTGCTGAAACGGGCTCTCCATCGCCTCTCCCTGCTCGCATCCTAACTGTCGCTCCAGGTGGGTTTCAGGTGCCACTCCTTCCCTGGAGCCTTCCTGCTCTGCTGGAAGGGGCCTCCGCTTCCCGAGGCTGCTGGCGGCATGTGGTACAGCGGCAGGCGGTGGTCACCCGGCCCGCACTCCTCCTCAGACTCCTCCTTGGACTTCCTGAAGACAGGGATCTGGTCTTCACATTTTGGTTCCCCTTAGGGCCTAGCCCAGGAACTCAAACATTCACTGAAGGAGTGGATGAGGCTGGAAGAGGATTGCAGAAGGAAGCGTGAGGTTGCTGACAGAAAACTGGGCTCTATTTGCATCCTCCATGCTTTAGACGCCCCTAGAATTTCTCCTGAAGAAGTCAGTCCCACTTCATCCACGTGGTTTTATCTGAGGCTTTGCTTTGCTGCTCCCCTGTCACGTGGTCTACTCTTTCTTCATCAAATCATTTTGTTTTCACTCTCTTTTACTCTATCAGAAATGGTTCCACCTTTTAGGATTGAAACAGCTCTCTTCGATCACTCCAAAAACCCATTTATACTTATTTCAGGGATTTGTATTTTGTGTATTCTAAAAATATTCTTACAGCCTTCTGTCATTTACACTTTGGGCAATTTAAATTTGTGGCTATTTGTCCTTGTCCTAGAACCCCTATTTATCTCTTTGCTGAGGGCAGGGCCATTGTGTGGCACAGTATCAGGGCCATAACGTTGGTAGCCTGTATGGATGGGGTTCTCCTGAGTTGAGCAGTGCTTGGCTTGTTCAACAGTATGTGGCAGCCCTGACTGTGGACCCATAAAAGTCAGGTGTACACTTGGCTGATTTCTGGTCAGTTTGTAAGTCATCATGGGTTCATTTGGACCCTGGGTATCTCCAGGAGGGTTGAATGGGAAGTCAGCTGCATGCGGTTTCTTTAGTCACTCAGAGTTTCAGGAAAACAGGCTCCTATCTGGCCATCCAGCCCTTGTCCGGTCTGTCACTGCACATGCAGAGACTCCACAGGCTGCCAATGTGAAAGCTGGGAGCCTCAGAAAGCACTTGTAGGTGTTAAATTTCACATTTGGGTATTCAGATTGGCACCAGAGGAAAAAATACTTGGAATCCAACAGCTTTGCCAATTATGACAAGTTAGTGTGGCCCTTTGTGTCAGAAGTATGTGCTTGGTTAAGCCCTGGGTTAAACAAGGGTGGTGGGTCCTATGTAAACACAAAGAGAAATCACACTTTATATTAGTCTACACCTGTGCTTGACCAGCTCCTCAGCGGCCCTGCTTCTCGTGGAGTGAATGTGGCAGGCAGTGCAATGATGCCTCCCCTTCAGGGGTTGGGGCTGCTTCCTCCCGCCTGGGATGCCCAGCCCTCTGAACACGACGGCAATGCGGGATGAAGGCTTTCCTGCAGAGAAGCCACCGTCTGCAATTTTCTTGGAACTTGATGTGAGTTTGGAAGGAAAAATGACCCAGAGGAGGACAAGCAAGGAGAGACAGCCCATTAGCACCTGAACCATATGACAAAGCAAAACGCAACTTCAGAGCTGTCAGCGAGACAGCTGGGGGAACATGCCAAGAAGCCAGATACTGCTGTTGAAAGACTATTTTCCACAAAGTTTGGGCCTGTGATGTTCATCTCAGCGCCATGTGTGGCCCTAGGCACGGGCTTTATTGCTGGATAAAAGAACAAAAGCAGGGAGGGGGGCAATTGTGTGCATGCCGGGGGCTGACTTATAAAATTAAAGCAGATGATGAGTGGAAATCCTGTTCGCTATAACCTACCAACATTATTAAGAATCTGAACTCTATACCTGTCTCCTCTATAAGGGATGTATTTGGAAAACTCCCCAACAAGTGGCATGTTTTAACTGGAAGCTAGATATTAGGTTGGTGAGATCCCACTGCCAGCTCATCCTGTCAGACTTTCTAGCTTCATTCTGTGGTCCCAGGAATATTCATATATGTGAAGTCTTCTGGTATTTTTCTTTGTTCCAGATCAGTGGAATTTGTTCTCATTTTAGAGGTGAAGGAACTGAAAAGAATCTTACAGACTTAAAGAAGTGTGAAAGGGTTTGCTTCAAGACCTTCCCTTTGACGTCTCTGGGCATAGAAACTCCTGGGTGCACAGCCTTTACCCAGCTCCCACCACTGGACTACACTGTCCTGCTCTTGGCTCTCCCCGTCTCACTCCCCCAGACCCGCCTATTTCCATTATCTACTCTCTCCTCTCCCCCCACCACTCCGGACTCATGATATAAGAGACCAAAATCTTTTCTTTCATGCCCAAAAGGGTGCTGGGGGAATCATGTCTTGACTTTTTGGAAGAGAAAAGCATTTTTTAAAAAAGGTTATTTGTACTGGAGAGAATTTCTGGAAACAGGCTGGATAGATACGTTAAAAAATCTTGAGGTGTGAGAAAATGATTCTTTCTGCGTCATGCAAACAGAGCAGTCAGCAGATAAATTGTAGACATCAAGACCTCACGCGTTTCCTGAGGACACTGGGGAGGAGAGTGCTTTGCCTTCACACCACGAGAGCTGGGTGGAAGCAGTTTCTAGCGTGTCCACTCTTGGTTTACCCCCTTGAAGAAAAGAGAGCAGACATGGGGCTAACATAAAGTATTGGGTCATCTAAAGCTCAGATGCCTTGTAGCTGCTGTGGACTGTGGTTCTGCCTTGACACGCTTTTATGCGGATGGGGCAAGTTGGAAGACTCTGGAGTTTGCTGGCCAGGTCACTGAGCACCCGGGGTTTGGACTTCAAACAGGCAGGAGAAGGAGGCTTTCCTCACTGCTTTTTCTTCCCTTTCTGACTTGTCTTCTGTTACGGAGCAACAAGGAGTTCTCACTGCCTGTCTTAGCTTGGGTTCTTTCCAGAAAGCAGAGCCAGAGAGAAGGGCTTGTGTGTAGATAGTTTATTTCATGGAGTATCTCAAGGGAATAAGAGAGTGTGTGTAGAGTGTGTGTGTGTGTGGGGTGTGTGTGTGTGTGTAGTGTGTGGGGGTGTCTGTGGGGTGGGGTGTGTGTGTGAGGTGTGTGTGGGATGTGTGTGTGTGTAGTGTGTGGGGGTGTCTGTGGGGTGGGGTGTGCTTGTGAGGTGTGTGTGGGGGGAGGTGGGGTGTGTGTGGGGTGTAGTGTATGGGGTGTGCGTGTATGTGTGTGTGGTGTGTGGTGTGTGTGTGTGGTGTTGGTGTGTGTGATGTGTGTGTGTAGCGGGTTGGGAATAGTGAAACAGGGAAAGCCAAAGCAAAGGTGCGTCATTGAACTGGTCACCACTGTGGGTGACTGGGACTCAGTCCCACTGAGAACTGCCTGAGGAGCCATGGAAAACGCACCTCAGAATTATCCGCCCAAGGGAGAGAAGAAAGGAGCACTTGTCCCCTGGCTCCTGTGCTCCACAGGTCAAAGGTTGCCCGTGGGATTAACTTAGTCACACTTCCAGGTTTGTGCGTTTGTGAGAGCTGCAGTGTCCCACACCACCGTGTCAGAGAAGCCCGGGGCAGAACATGAGATCCTGGCTGCAGCTGAGGCAAGGTTTCTGCTGGGTGCACCTGTGTGCAGCTGGTTGCCACAACAACGATGAACAGGAGGAAGATATGGGCTGGGAGGACCTGAGGTAGAGCACAGAGGTATCTGACAGTCATGTGTCCATCTTGGTGTGGCCCCCAGCATCTCAGGTGGCCTTGAGATTAGGGCAAAGTGCAGTTTTTAGGCAGGTAGTAGGCCCTCCGCATGATTCTGTCGAATTTGTTTCATCGGTGTCATTGATTTTTCTCTAAAGTTCTCCTGTTGTAGGAGTACAGGATGCTCTGTTTTCCTCCCATCGGCTTTGGACACAGGAAGAAATGGGAACATGACTTGGTGTTCAGCCAGTCATTTCCTGCATTGCCTGGTGTATGAGTCAGGGTCGCAGTAGAAACCGATGCCGGCACACTCAAGAGGGCGAGCCAAGAGAAGGGATTCATTCCATGGTCTGAGTACAGTTAAGGGGAACCAGTGATGATGGGAAGTCTCTCCACCTTCAGCCTGTGGGAGCCAGAGGAGGAAGCAGTTACCGAGCCCTGGAGCTGTCGTTGTAGCTGGAGCGGAGGGCCACAGGTGAGGAGCAGTGGCCCTCAGGAGAAAGATGTGTCCAGTCCATGGAGACCCACAGGAAAGGAGCTGGGGGAATAAATACTCTGACCTCACTCTTCTCTTGCCTTCTGATCTCCTGCTGGCGCTCCTACTGGCTGACCTCAATTAGAAGCCAGAGGGCAAGGGAGCCCAAGACGAAATCCATGCTGGTCAGCCTTCCCGGGCACAGAGCAGAGGGGAGAGGGGTGGCGAGTGGATCTGGAGGGGCAAATAAAAGACATCCAGCAAGGCTGGTGCACAATTTGTATGGGCAGTTTATGGGCCAGTTCTGTCTTATTGGGTATTGGGTGCTAGTCATACCTCCTTGGAAGTGGTGTGCTTTAGCACAAATAAGGAATCTTTAGGCTTAAAAATGACTCGCTTAGTGTGGATCCAACTGGGAGGATGTGGCTCAGAGTGTGGCTAGACTGATCACTGTGAGATTATAATATATTTGAAGTTACTTGGAAAATATTTTTTAACAAGCAGATTAGAGAGACATGTATTTGCTATGTAAGAATCTTGTTGGTCCACTGTCAAGGAAGAGAGAGGAAAAATGAGATTGAAAGCAAGTTCACGGTCTGTGGTGGGAGTGGGGGAAATTTTCTAATTTCCTTTGTTGCTATTTTAATGCAGTTTTTTGCAATAAATTAAAAATAAAGAGAAGCCACTAGTCACCTACATGAGCTTGTTGGGCTTCTGGACAACCGTACTGGCAAAACAAGTATCTTGGATAAGGAAAGCTTTAAACATGACTATTTCTTGCTCGAGTCTTGGAAACTTAAACTAGAATCCATATGACGTTCATTTTAATACAGCCTTCTAGGTTTTTAAGCATTTTTTCCCATAATTACTTCTGTTTTCTTTATAAGCAGTTTTATGGGGAGTGGAGGGGAAGTATTTTCCTTTACCTCTTCAGGTGGCTTTGTGCCAGTTCCCAGGTCACTGCGGATGCAGAGAGTGAGTGAGATCCAGTCTCTGACACAGCTTCAGTTAAGGGAGACCTCGAATGTTCTGGGACCCGTCCTTTTTGTGGGAGGCCCGGGGAGGAAGCGTGAGCTCACTGGGTGTGGGGGGAGCCGGGCTTTGCCAGGACCTGTGAGGGGCATGGGCTCCCAGCGCCTCTTCCCTGTCGGGGAGGATGCGGCACTCCAGTCCTGCCTGGCATCACTGATGTTCACCCACGGACACAGACCAAATGCCAGATCCTGTCCCCAGCACACGACCCTGACGGCGGGAGGTGGAGGCTTGACTGCTTCTCTTTCTAACCACAACTGCAAACCTGGCTCCAATGTCTTCGGGCAGTCATGAGGATTCACCCTGAGAAAAATGCTTGAGTTGAAAGGTGTTGTCTCTGACCTCACAGGCCATGACCAGTTGACAAGTTATGTGAGCTGAATTGGTTCAGGGGCCTGGCTTCTAGATGTGAAGTGGGAGTTTGATTTTCCATTCTCTTCTCACCCCCATCTGCTCAAGAAGGACAAAAATATTTTTTTTTGAGGGGAAATAAGGGGCTGGCTGATTCCTGGCACGTGTCCAATGTCATCAGGTGGGGCTGCATCTAGAGAGCATTTTGTTTGTATGGAGTAGAGAGGCCTCGTCTTTGACGTGAGCTGTGACAAGACGGTTTCTGTATTAGCTGGATGCAGGGAACCAGTGGAGGCTGACTGCAGGATGTACCAGCAGCTGCTTATGCCTCCGGAGTTACAGCAAATTAAGAAATAAAAGGACTACCTGGTAAAGTTTCATTGCCTAAGCATGCTCGCTTGATATTCCTGTCCTTGGTAAGAACTTTAATTTTGAGTTGTCGGAAACATCTGGAATATCAGCTGTGCATTTGGGGTGGAGTCTCATGAGACAAAGGCCGGGCCTGCCCCCAGGGCGAGGGAGAGTGATGGCAAGTGAAACCACGGGGCCTGGGTTTGGAGTCAGAGCTTTTCATGGGTTCTCTAAACCAGTTCACAGACTGTGGATGAGTCCCTTTTGCTTCTGCGCCAGTTTCCTTTCCACAACTGGGGTTTTGTCTGTGTGTATATGCTCCAAGCGGCAGGCCAGGGGTCAGAGTGGAAATCTCGCTGGCTTCGGAGCCACACGGCTTCAGTCCAAAGCTTTACCTGCTGACAGTCCAGCAAAGTTAAGGCAAGACAACGGACTCTTCTGTGCCTCCTTTTCTCAATTTACAAAAGAGAATACGAATTGTTTACCTTTTAGGATTCCTGTAAGGCCAACATGAAGTAGCGTGTCTAATTGTCTTTACACGCTCTATTTTAAACTAGATCTTTTCATGCCCCAATCTTGTCTCACTTCCTGAACCTTCAAATACAAAAAAATGTGAAATAGGGGAGGGGAAGTGCTAAACCCCAAAGAGAGAGTGTGTGAGGCTGATGATCAGGAAGGAGTACGACTCAACATCCCGACTGGTAGATGGATGTGCCAGGTGTGTCTGCAAATGTCATTTTACTGGCAGAGACAGAGCTTCACGCTGTTTTCAGGGAGCTCCTGAAGCTCCAACGTCAGAGGTGGAAGTCCAATTTCCCAAGGGTTTCTATCCACCCTCAGGCCAGAGCCAGCGGACAGGTGACCCCAGAGCTTGCCTGTTCTCAGGTCCCAGTCTGACCGAGTGCTCCCTCTGGCTCTGCCTTGTAACCATAGCTGCGCCACGTGCACGAGACCCAGTGCAAGGACAAGACGGAAACATTAAGAATTATTTCAAAATTGGAGACAAATGTAAACTAGTATAAAATCATAGTACTCCCTTGACCCTGTAGCTTTGAGGTTTTGGGGGCCTCAGCGCTCTCTAATGTATTATTTCATGACTTAATCTGCTTTGCATTTCTCTGGATTTAGTGACGCTGGGAGAGCAGAGTACAGGACTCTAGGAACTGAAACAGAGAACAGAAAAACAAAGAATGCTTGGCAACATGAAATTTTTAAAATATTTTTTGTTCTCTTCTGAGAATGTACCCCATCATACTCTGGAAAAAAATTCACACAGAAAAGTTTCTAAAAGAAATCAGTATGTGTGTGTGTGTATATAAAATACATGTGTATTTGTATCTATCTATTTATTTACAGTTGTCACTGGTAGGTTTTGCTGATCACATTAGAATAATAAAGAAAATATTAGCCAAGAACAACCAGGGACTTAAGTGCTTCCTCCCCACACACCCTTCCTTCCTCCCTCTTTCTTTGAAAATTTCTAAAATAAATCTGCAAGATAAAACTCAGGGATGGTAAAAAAAAAAATCACGTTTTAACTATTTATGCTTCACAATTTTGAAATGAGATATTTGTTGTAACTTTAAAATTCAACTCATTGTATTTATCAAGCCCCTGCTAAGTGCCTAGAAAAAATAAGTACCCAAGCTAGTTCTCATTTCTCAGAAGCTGACAGTTTTGTCTGGGGGAGCCGGAGTGGGGAGGAGGCGTAGGGCCTGGACACACAATGAAGAGAGACACCAGGAGAAGCAGACAGAGGAACGTTACATAACATGAATGCCTGTGCACACATGCTAACCTGCGAGGCGTCAAGACAAAATGACCCAGTGATGGCTGGGAGGCGAGGGATGTTGGGGGTGGAGGCGGAGATGGAACATAGGGGCTTTTGAGAGATTTTCTTCTTCTTACAAAAAGGCCTCATAAAGCAATTGTTTGTGTCCATTGCTACATTTGGCACTTACGGAGGCCAAAGAGTGAAGCAAACGATACGTGCTACGTTTCCTTCTGCCCCTGAGCAGAGGATGGAAGCAACTGGAAAGCCTTTATCACTGTGCTCCAG